TTTTAGTAGCTTGCTCTAGGCAACACGGTAACGGAGCCAGAATTTGAGCCCAGAAGCATCGACGTGAAAGCACAGGAAAGTGCTGACTAAACATGGACTCCATGTTTAAGGAGGGAGCCAGTCTTGGCATGTGTGGCACTGTGAATTCCGTGTCAAAAGTCACTACAAAACAATTAGCCTAGAAGTGTAACTAGTAGGAAAATCAACTTGCTTTTCTGCCCTGATAGGATGAGTCATAAAAATAGTTACGAACTGACTAAGCCAATTTGGCCATGCATGACATTTACACTTTCTGGTGGCCAACAGTAGTCACCCAGCGGCTTTGAGATGGGCACAAGTTACCTACTTCCCCCTGCCAGATTTTAAAGAAAGTGAGTCCAAAATCAAATACTGTCACACGTATAACTTTTTAACAAATTCTATTTAGCAAATCAGGCACAGTGGTATGCATACTACCTGCTGGGTAGGCTCAATGCAGTCTGAGTTCTCTGCCGTACTGGGGGCTCTAACCAGATAAACTCAGGATGTCCCAGAGGCAGGCTTTCATTAGCCCTTAGGCAGCATCAGACAACAGGCGACCTCCTAAACGGAGGATGAAACACAGGATATTTTAGGGCTCAGACCTCCAATGCATTCCCCAATGGTGGAGGCTAAAGTTTTCACTGCATTCTTACAATCTGTGTGTGCGGGGGAGGGCAGGAGGGCTTCTCCAACCCCTCACCTAAAATACATTTAATCTTACCCATCACCAACATCCATTTGTCACATTTCTCATAATCGATAGACTACTATTTTCACCATTGAAACTCCACTTTTGGCATCCGATATGCTAATTAGCAGAGCCTGGTGATGACTGAGAAGTGGATGGCTACGGCGCCAATTTGCGTGGTGGCCGCTGGAGAGTGACGCCTTTCAGAAATGATGTTCACTGACCAGCCAGGGCATGCGCCCTTGATTAGGACAACTTCTTGCTCCTAGATTGACACTTGAACTGACACACACATTATAGCAAGCTATCTGTGCTAAGGTCTGTTAAAAGAAGTCACAGTCATTACAAGAAAAGTTCATGTTTATCCACATCCTATGATAGAAAAGATTGGAGACCATGTTGATTTTAATAATAATTTACATTTGCATTTTTAAAAATACTTTTCTACTCATTCTTTTTCAGTCTCATTTTTCCCTGGGACCTATTGTGCATGTATCGTTCTTATTCCCGTTGAATAATTAAGTGCTGAGTTTAAATCATCTTTTTCATACTCACAACGACAGCTTATGTGGATATTTACTATGTGCTAGACATTGTGATAAACACTTTAATGTGGTTTATTTATCTCATTTTGTTCTCCCAACTACCTTATGAGGCAAGTACTATAATTATCTCCACATTACAGATGAAGGAACTGGTGTTTAGCGAGACCAAGTAACTTGCTTCAGGTCCCAACGCTAAGCAGCCCGAGTCCAGGGCTAAGCTCTGATTTGTGTAGTTTCCTTCCATTAACGGCAGAGCCTAGACTAGTTCTCACAGCACAGGATGGCTACTCCTGTGCTTTTTCAATGGGAAGTCCAGATTGCTAGGCTGCAGAGATGGACAGACATGAAGGCAACCAGTTCCAATGGCCTTCAGACATCTCCACAAAATGTGTTCACAGCTGCGATGCCATAGTTTATGGTGGCTCAGAACTTACGTTTCCAAGTCTTCGTTTTGGCCTCGGGGAAGTCCCTGTAGGAACTGGGCGTGGGACTTCCCAAACCACAAAGAGGCATGTAGAAAAGTACAGAGAAGACGTCACTGTTGGCTGTGTGTACTCGAAGCGCAAGAATGAACTTCTAAAGGATAGTGACGGCCGCAAAATTGAAACTGCGAACAAAGTACCTGGTGTCGGTGTGAACCAGTGGCACAAACACCACCTCCTAACTGGATTATTTTTGAGTAACCTCATTTGAGCTTCAAAGGGTCCTCAAAATCATTATCATTGTTATTGTCATCATGACCTTTGCCTTTGGTATTCTGCCTGAATTTCAGGAAACAAGTAATGCTTCCACCTCCAGGCTGGGCCTCAGCTTGCCCAGCATTCTACAGCGGGTCCAGCAGAGGGGCAAGGTGGTCACGAGTGTGGGTCCCACAGTGCTTCTGCTTGGCAGGGCAGAGTGGCCCACTTCTACCCGCAGAGGAGGAGGCAAGAGGGCCCGGGTCCTTGTCCCCAATGAGCTGAAGAAGGACCATTCATGGCCTACGGAACCAAAGGGGCACTTGGCCTCCCCTTTTGAAATAATTTCTACTTGAAGGGTGTTTGTTTTCACAATCAGCTTCAAGCATAAATCAAGAAATATCACCTAGAGAAACAGAAGCCCATCGGGGCCCAGACTCTTGTGAGGTGCAGCTGCTCCTCTGCATAGTACTCTTGTCATTCAGCTGGCCCAGGGGACACAGGGGTCAGCCAAGCGATATAACCACAGATAACAGAAGCCTATCAGCGATATATGAGCAAAGACTGTTTAAAAGCAACTTTTAAAGAACATTCCACACTGAAGTTGGTCATCTCCAACTTCATGTCCCAAAATTAAGTCCATTCCAATGGAGTTAGCACATGGGGGACAACGAGCCCTGACAGTGAGGGAGATAGGACTAAGGAGCCAGGAAGGCCATGTAGGGATGGCAGAGGGGCTGGCCAGCCATTAGAGGACCCCCAGGAGAGAATCATGCTCCCAGTGGCAGGGCTGTAGAGGGCCAAATGTTCTCAGAGATGGACAGGGACAAAAATCTTTAGATTAAAAAAAAAAAAATTATAAAAATTCTAAGTTACTTTCTAGGGAGTTTTTCCCCTCAAAACAAGGGATAGCTGCTGGATGATTCCATCTGCTCCCACATGTCTTTAGGCAAACGGCTTGAGACCTGGGGATCCCAACAGGCATCCTTGGAAGTCCAGGTCGGGCAGAGCACCTTCTCACGATTAGACTAAGGACAGAGGTTTGGGGAAGGAAGACCGCAGAAGTAAAGTGCCATTTTCATTACGTTACATCCCAGGTTTATGCGATCGACATGACTGATGTTGACCTTGATCACCTGGCTGAGGCAGTGTTTGTCAGTTTTCGACACTGTAAAGTTACTCTCCCCCCGTTTCCTTGCCATATATTTTGGGAGGAAGTCGCTATGTGCAGCCCTCACTTAGGGAGCGGGAACATTTCTCCTTACCTACTCCCTGCTCCTAGTTTCCCATCTTTTCATCATCTCCAGCTCGGCACAATCACAGACTAAGGGCTACGAGCCCATCTGCAGTGACACGGAACTGCAACCCGCCTCCCTCCACCCTCCGCTTTTCCAAGCTTGGACTTGAGAGGAGCAGCCTTATCTCTGCGAAAGTTTCCTGGCTGTATTTATCCCCCCTTACAACAGAGACGACAATCCCAGAGTTCCCGGGAAAGTTCCAACTTCAGCTGTTTGATACAGCAATACAGCAATACAGCATCCCCTAAGTATGCTTTAATCCTCAACGCAGGGGAAAAAAAAAAAACCAAACCAACAAAAAAACAGCTGTCAGTTCAATAACACATACATACGCACTCACTCTCATACACATAGTGTACGTGCAGGGCAGGCCCCTCACAAAACCCTGAAACAGAATGAATTTATCTTTGATGGCCTTTCTTTTGCAGTTTCAGGCTCTCCCTAGAGGTCCCCCGTGCCTTGTGCTTGAGATCCCCATCCCGGCCTCGTACCTCTCCATTCTCCAGGATACCATCTCAAGCTCGTTAGCAGCTGGGCTTGCAAAACTGTATCCAGGAGAAGGGCAGGATGGAGACACCAAACCGTCTCTTCGGGAGGAAAGAGGCCAGGGAGGGTGGTTTGGCAAAAGCAATGATTTTTAATCCGTTCACCTGTCCTTTCCTGAGAACTATGAAAGTTACCTACCTCTGTGCTTTCGACGTATAGAGAATGCAATCATCTAACAGTGAAAAATTGATTCTGCCTCTAGGAGTTTCTACTTCGCCGAGGGATCCAGAGGCAGACTCAGATTTGCACTTCTAACACTCAGATGTGCACTCCCCCTCCAAGCCTGATTAGAGTAACCTGTGTTTCCCAATTGCCCCATTATTTTTCACAGCTTCTCACATTGCGAATCAAACTCCATTTTGGAAATACTAGTCATTTCTCAGAAATTTAGGAAACCTTGCTTTCTCCATGTGTGAATTTTTAGAAAAAAAAAAAGTTTATTTTCCCCTCTAGGTTTATTTTTACTTAGCTGAAATAATTGGAGACAGCATAAACTGTACATTTTTTTTTTTATCAGCCCACTTTCAATGTGCTGGCACTGTAGTTGAATTTCAATGACTGTGTTCAATGACTTGCAATGGAGCACATCGAAACTGCCCATGCCCAGAGCATTCCCGTTGGTAAGAGTCCAGACTGCACAGCATTTAGTGTCTCTTCAATCTCAAGACAACCACGTTGTCTCCTTATTCCTCGTGCAAATAATTACGAGCACTCTCATTTGGGCCTGGCAACTATGTTAGCAACCAAAAGCACACAAAAAGTACAAGGCAAGCTACTTTCCTTCAGAAGCTCATAATTCAATTGGGAGTCGACGTACACGCATAATGTGGTTCAATAACATTATCAAGTCGTGTGAATGTGTTTTAAACACTCCAAGCTGTACTAATGGGGTTCTACATCGAATTCCAATGTGTGTGTGCATGGTGGGGCTGGGGGTGTTCCCCACACGTCCAGTGACAAGCAAGCAATTCTCAGACACCAGCTGGATGTCCTACAACTTAATTCTGAAACTATTTACCCGGAGATTAGATCAGATTCCACAGGTTAAGGGTTCAGTCCAACAGGACTGCTTCCCAGCTCCACTTCAGACCCAGCTCGCAGGCCCAGGTTATCACTTGTGCTTCTGACTGCCAGCTATGGACTGGAGGTGTTCCCATGGCCCTCTCCTTCCGTGTGATTAATTTGCTAGAGCAGCTCACAGAATTCAGAGAAATATTTTACTCACCAAACCCAGGAACAGCCAGACGGAAAAGGGGCGTGCCACGCTCCCCCGAACTCCACGTGTTCGCCAGCCCAGAAGCTCCCAGAACCCTCTCCTTCTGAGTTTTCATGGACGAGTCTTCACACAGGCATGGTTGATTCCCTCACTAGCCACAGATGATCGAACTCAAATTCCAACCCCTCTCTCCCCCCGGGGGTGGGACTGAAAGTTCTAACCCTCTAACCAACCTCCAACCGTAAGTGCTTTCCAAAAGCCACCTCGTTAACATAACATGAGTCACCTTTAAGCTCTCATCACTTAGGAAATTTCCCAGGAATTTAGGGGCTCTGTGCAAGAAACGGGGCAGAAGAACAAATACTGTAATATTTCTTATTATAAATCACAATATCTCATGTACGTATCTAGAGATACCAGCTTGAGTGACACATACTCCCTTTGTCAGTGCTGCCGTGGCCCACCTGTGTTTGGATATTGTAAAGGGCTCACTCCAGTGTTTAACAGTCACAAAAGAAAATCACCTTCTTTTCAGCATTAGAGCTTGGTTTTTCCGGTTGTGTTTTATTCTCTTTGCTTCCTATTTAATCACCCACCACCGTCAGCAGATTTGACTTGGAATGACCTTAAACTACACTCGAAACTAGTATCTATTCTCAAAGGAGTTTTTTCAACCTATTCTGTTCTCTTAATCTGTTAGCCTCCGGCCATCTTGATTTTCTTTCCTGTCTAGTCTAGAGCACTGAACTCTAGCGAGACTTGTCAAGCCCTTCAACTCCTTTGCCTCTGCTGGCTCCCATTCCACATATCTTCAAACACCCCAGGCTGGAATACGTCATACTCTCTGCCTTTGCTCCACACCTGGGTCCTTGGGCTCAAGAAGAAAACCTCAGGGCCAAGCACTTGGTGCCACCACACAGATGGGCAAAAACATTTTTCCAATGTTTTAGGATAAAGTCCAAAGTCTTTAGCATGTCTTTCAAGGCTTTTCTTAATCTGAAATCCTCATCTTCACCTCTTACCATCCAGCCTCCCACTCGAGAGCCCGATCTTAGAGAGCCCCTCGCAGGTACGTAAAGGCTCTATCTGGTTTTTTGCCCTCAGCCGTTCATACAGGCTCTTCCTTCTTTCTAAAACACCTATCTTTGGCTGATGAACAACTACTTACCTTTTAAGACACAGGTCTGGATTGGTGCTCTGATGTTGCTCCATGTTCCTACCAGTGGGAGACCTACCCCTTCTTCCTCACTGCCCTGGGAGCTCGTTGGAAACAAAAGCTGAATCTTATTCACTTGTGTCATCAGCATCTTATCTTACACAGAATGGGAAGGCCAGGCCCAGGAGAAAGGGGGAGCTAGAAGCCACCCAACAAAGCAAGAGAAGCGAGATCAGGAACCAGCCATGTGCTAGCAGCACATTCATTGGGGGAGGACTGACAGAAGCTAAGAGCAGATTGACCAGTGTTCTGCTGGGAAACGGGGCCCTGAGCCTCAGGTTTTGGCCAGAAAGAGCCAGCTTCTGGTGGAGCACCCCATTCCATGGCTAGGCCAAGGCCTAATGCCGGCTAGAATGGAAGAGCAGGGACCTTACTTCCTCTGGGAAAGGCTTTGAGAAATGCCCAGAAACGATGGCCTCTAAATGACCATGCTGCTGAGAACATTTGGGGGCTACAAACCAAATGGAAGAGACAGATTAAGGCATATTTATTTGGGGCCAGGAGCATAAACCATAGGCATCCCAGCAAGCCCTTGACTGTTCTCTCATTCTTGAAAAAATGTATAAAGATGCTGTAGGGTTCTCCATCAAGTTTTCCAAAGTCTCAGTGAAAATTTGCTTCCTCTCCGTGTCCATCTTTTTGACAAATGTATGCACAATGGCCCTGATGAGATAAGTCCCTCTCTCATGAGCTCCCATTGCTCTCCATGCCATCCCCCGTGAATGTTGATACAATATTTATTAAGGCTTAAATAGCACTGTTAAGTGCACATGTTGATTTAGAATGATGGAGAGTGTCAAAGCAGAGAACAGGAATGCAGCCTCAGCGTAGGGACCCCCGAAGGACAAGGAGATAGATCATTAGCTAAACACCCAAGCTAGCCAATGTCACCAGCAGGAAAAACAATTCTTTAACGAGGGCTTTCTTTACGCCTATTGTTAACACTGCTTTTTATATAAAAAAATTTTTTTTCAAATATCATAAAATAATATATGCATATAGTTTTAAAAATTCTAACAATATAGACTGGTATACTGGAAAAGTAAAACTCCTTCCATCCTCTTCCACCCAAGTCCCGCCCTTCAGAGGATACCCCTTTTACCCTTCTGTTTTTATTCTGCTGCTAAGTTACTGCCATAATTTGAAACAATATGCTTAGATCTTGATTTACCAGCAGTAGATAGTATCAAGCCATTTCCATTCTCTTCGATGGAGCAGGAATTTAGCTTACAACATTTTCAACCATCTCTTCTGAGTTTTGTTGGAGTCCTTTCCCGGTGGTCTCCAAGGTCTGTTCCAGCTCTGAGTCCCCTCCTGGCAGAAGCATGCTGCCCACACTTTGCACCAAAGCCCCAGAGCACCTGGCACATTCCAGACTCATATTGTCTCCAAGAGGTCCTAGGGCCCTGCCGGAGAAGGGTAATGGCAGGAAGCCATAATATATTAAAACAGTAGATTAAAACAAACAAGGGTATTTTGGATCGGATTACACATCATTTTCTTCATGTCTGACAACAGAAAAAAAAAATCAAAGGCAGTAAAAAAGACAACCATAGACCATAATGGTCTAATAACTTGGTGTTATTAGACTCCAGAGCAGGAGTCAAAGCTCTCGTGCAAGCACGCAGTGCTGGGCTCAGAGGAATTACTGCTTAAGTGCCCCTTTAAGACTTCCTCCAAAATGCAGCACATTCGCTGGAGGATCATAATTAGGCCTCAGTTGTGGGCCATATTCACACATTGTGCATCATCCTTAAAGATGACAGAAAAAAAAAATTACCCAGGGCCATGTGGAATAAATATTAGATCTCTCACCATTGTCCTCCATGAAAAAAAAAATTCCACTTAATAATCTCCTGTCTAGACTCATAGCTGAGTACTGAGCAGTATGGCTTTGTTTTGTTTTGAAATGGAAGGAGAAAAGGCAGGAAAGCAGGAAGGTTGGGAGCACTAGAACCCTGAGATTGGCATTATGGGCACAGACATGGTCAAACCCACAGAAAGGAAGAGTGTAAATCATTTTCCATTCATGGGGTGCTGTCAAAATCCAGGTGTGACAAAAATTCCAGAAAAATCACAGATCGAGTTCATCAGGAGTATACCAGCCCAGAGCTGATTAAACACTGGGAGCGTGTAATCTCTGGAAAACCACTTTCATCTAATAGTTTGTGTGATGAAATAAAATGCCACCAAAACGTTCGGCCATTTCTCCATTACCCCTTCTTTCCTTCCCAACCTTCTCACCCCAAACCCATTCGGTTCCACTCGTGGGGAGGAGCTATCTGGGACTGACAAGCAAATCTGCCCGATTCTCACGTTCCTCACACGAGTGTTGGCCCGTTGCCGCTTTCCATCCTGAGTATCTATTCCCGCTCTGGAGAACTCGGTTGGCTCCCCGGGGGAACAGACCTAAACTTGATTTCGGGTCATTCTCATTTGTATTCTCAACCTGCCTACTGCTGTCATTTTATCATCTTCTTTTCTAAACCGGTCACGCACCAAAAAAAGTGGTGCGTATTTATTGGTCTTTTGGTTTTTTTTTTTTGTTTTCCATCACCAGGAGCACTTGAGATTCCCATCGGCTTTTCTGCAACCCATGTGGCCCTTGGCCATATATTGCCTCCATTCACTCAGCTTTTTCAGGCGTTACAGTCTTTTGTCCATGAATACGAAACAGTCTCTTCATTTCCCTGTTTCTCTCACCCAGACCTAGAGCGATGCTCACGGCAGAACCTCAGCTGGTCAGTTGACTTAATCACTGAATCCAGCCAGCCCTCATCTGAAGATGTGGGGGACAAGGAAACGAAAGAGAACCGAAATCTCTAAACAATGCCTAAATGTAATTTATGCTTTAATTTTTTTCTTGGACTGTAACGTCCTTCCCCTCCCCGCCTCCCAAAAAACATTCCTTGGCCATCTTTATAAGACTTGGGTAAAAAACTTTCTGTCTTTTCTTCTTGTAACTTTGGCAAGATGTGAATAGGAACAAAAACAGACACGATCATGAAAGAGGAAAATATGAAGGACTTAAAAACCCTCATGGTGGCTCAACCCAAAGTAATCAGTAGTCGACTGTACGTCATTATATGCGTTTTCTTTGGGAAAATGGCAAGCAGTTTGGTGCCTGTTTCCTCTTTTCTTTCTCTTTTCAAAGTGTGATGAGCCACCAGAGCTTTTGTAGAATGTTTCAGAATTTGAGAAACCATTTCACATAGTTTTATCTCATTCGATTTTCACGATGACTCTGGGTGCTGAGGAACAGATTATAATTTCTGCGTTACAGATTCTAAAATCTATACTGTAATAAGATCCTCGTGGCTAATATAGGAGGTATTACAAGTCAGTGAGAAAAGAATGAATTATTCAAATGTGATTTTAGAAAAATTGGCTCTCTTGGTGGCGGGAAACATTTAGATCCTCATTTCACATTACGAAATAAAATAAATTCCAGACATGTTAAAATTATAATACGCCCAAATTATAAAAATCTATAAGAAAATGTAGGTAAATATTTATCTGATTCCCACAATGAAAGAAATTCTCCAAGTGTAAAATATGGCAGGAAGTCACAAAGGAATAGACTAACAGATTCTATCACACAAAGATTTTAAATGTCTAGATATAAAATATGAAAAATAAAAGCAAACAATAAACTGGAAAAGTATTAGCTACATACGTGACAGGCAAAGGTTAATATTCTTACAATATAAGGCATCCATAGAAATCAATAAGAAAAAGAAATAGAAAATGAGCAAAGGTTATAAATAGACGATTTACAAAAGAGAAAATACAAACACCTGCCCAATACACACGAGAAAAGTTATTCAGCCAGAAAAAGTAATCAAAGAAATTAAAAATGAAGTCACCAGATACAGCTTCTTGCTTAGCAAATTGGTAATAAATGGAAAGACTGATAATACCAGATGCTACAGAGGTCAAGTGAGAGAAGAATATAAATTACATGACCTTTCTGG